CTAACTCTGTTTAGGAAGAGTTTCGCAACATTCACCGGTTCTAGAGTCATTATGGCACCAAACTGAAGGTTAGAGAAACCTGCCCAGCACATACAAACAAAATATTTATTTCTGATACAAATTTCTATCCAGTCCTGTACGGATGAACACGAATTTGTGCATGTGGTCTCAGATTTAACCTGCGGCCCTATATCCTCAGGCCCAAAGATCCCGCTGCCTATACCGCAAAAGTTGTATCATTAAAACAGTAACTGGCCGGTTTGGGGGGGGGGGGGGGGGCGCGGGAGAAAAAAAAAGGGGGGGGGGGTGGTTGACTCAGATTATTATTTACAATTGTACACGTTATAACGTTTTCCCAAAGTAACTAATTTCTTTGATCTTTGTCGGATTATTGGGTGTCGCCGAGGCGTTGGCGGCTAAACGCTTACCTGCGGGTCGGAAGGTCGTTAGTTCGCGTCCTGAGGAAGCTTGACTTTTTTTTTTATGACTTTGACTCCCAGGTCGACCCAGCCTTGAGTGGGTACCAAGTACAGTCCTGGAAAGTAAAGACAGCCGGCGTGATGCTGACCACATCATTCCCCAAGTGCCGATTGGTCAAAAATATATATATCTAGCCCTATATACCCAATACGCCTTAAGGCGTGGCAAAGAGACCTTTACTTTTGTCGGAGTATTAATTGTTGTACGATCTACCTCAGTTTTCCCTCTTCAGTCAACTGGCCTTCTTTCCTTGACGGTGTGGTAGGAAATGAACGCGCAGACAGATTGACTGGATCTGCACCACTGGGTGGTAAAATAATATATGACAAGGCAAATGTGGTCAGGACCTTTAACAATAAGCAAGTGAATCAGTAGAGAAAGAAGATTATTATGGCCTGAAGAGAATGAGGCACCTGTGTGTAACCAGAGAGTCTGGCCAGCTCACCACACTCAGAGGAACGGCAAGACGGACATATAACCAGATTGTGGTCGGTAACTTCAGTATTGGAACTCTGCGCTGGCTGCTGAAGTTGAGGACGTAGCGTGCATGGGCATGCCGCAAAGGCTGTAATGTCAATTCTTGATTCAACTCAACTCAACCCATCTCCAAGTCATCAACATATGCAGCACCAATAGACCTAGGCAGTTATGGTGCTCTATTTCTATGTGCAAAGTTAGTTCAGACTGTGTCGACCTGTAAGCGCCTATGTCAATTTTGCGATCCCTGCCCGCGCGTTGGAGATATATAGCTAGTAGCTGAATTTGTCATTTTATTGTACAAAGTTTTTTCGCCAGGGACACAGAAGAGTATCATTTATTTTATACATTAGAGTCCTTCATAGTTAATGCATATTTTTGTATGTGTACTGTGTTGTCCTTTATGTGCTGATGAAGGCTAATCGCCGCAACGTCCTTTGTTTGTTTATTGTGATCGATTTTGTAAAGCTAACATGAACTATTTGTTGTTTTTTACCAACTTTTTCTCTTCCCTATAATTTTCTACTCCTTTTATAAACTATGTCGATTCTACCAGTCCCACCTCAATCTGGATTCTAACCGAGTACCGCTGCTTCGGCAGACAAGAATCTAGCCAGTGTGATTCCATGACACCCATATGGCGAATCCATTTAGCTAATTATTGCTGTCTTTTTCGTTTGCTATTTTTTTTTCCCCAAGCGCACTAACAGTTGTTGACCTCATTCTACTGAATTTCATAAGTTATAACAAGCAGAAGAAAGTTATATACGATACAACTATGGGCGTCCAGAAAAGAAAGCCTGGGGGAGAGGGGCCTCATCCTCCGTACACATTTGGTTCGGAGGGGGCGGCTTCGAGAGGCTTAGTTTATATATTATGAAACAGGAAATCCATTTATTTGTTTATATGTATGTATATGTGTCTGTCACAAGAATTTCTCCTAAACAGTGAGCATAGCAAAGTGAAATGTGCAGATGTCATTCTAGCAGAAATTTTCAAGTCAACTGTGCTATTTTCAACAATGTATTCACATCCTGCAGCAAACTAGAGCTTGAGCAGTAAAATTTTAGAGGCGGTGGAACGACAAAGGGAGTAGGGGTGGAGTAGGAGCCTCATGTGCCGTTAAGGCAGCGGTGGAGACAGAGAAAAAAATGGAGGTTGAGAAAAAAATATTTTCATAATCTAACGTGGGCGACACGGGTTCATTTTAAATCTGAGACACAGGATGAAACTCTTACAGCAATTTTCTTAGGAAGGGGGTGTTGGGGGGGGGGGGGGGGGGGGGTCAAGAATCTCGAGCCCTAGTTTCCGATTTCAGTCACCTATGGTTACCACTGACTCACACATTACCGTTGTACTCACCAGAACACAGCAGTAGCGCCGAGTGAATGGCGCTGATTAAAGAAACACCCACGGCATCGTTCTCGAAGACATGCAGCAGGTGAACAGTATAGATGCCAATGATGGAGTAGTTGCCAAACGCCAGAAACTGGATCATGAACGCAGAGAAAACGACAACGATGCCTCTGTAGCCTCCTTCCAT